TAAGATGAGCGCTCACATCGATGTCGTTTAATCTGTCTTGACGTCAACTTTTCTAAAATTGAAAACCTAATTTGATATAAAATTTAATTAATTTATTATTTCAACAAATATTTAATTTTTCATTATTTAAGTATTAAATGCCAATATTTTATTTATAAAATCCTATATATATGGCGTCGGCAGCGGCACACTCTGCTAAGTTTTTGCCCCATTGCAATTCCTGGCGGTGAATCTCTCGGCTTTTCCCTTCTCTTCGGCGTCTCCCACGACGAAGTTCATGTAGCTACAACTCTAGTCTCTCCTGTTGAAGTCGATCGCTCCATGTCGTCTCCGTAGTCGACGAGGATCGCTCCTGCCTTCGTCGTCTGATTCCATTGACGATGGCACTATTTCTCGCAGTTGTCTCCCGTAGTCGACGACCTTTCTTTTTGCGGTTGTCTCCTTGCTCGCTCTAGACGAAGCAAGCTCGACAGACAACGCCCGAAGTTTGATCGTTTCCTTGCGGCCCGCCACAGTTTTTTTTTTACCGTGACCATCTTGTGAGGGAGATAGCCTCGACACTCTGTTTCTATGCAAATGCCCTTGCCGGCGACTTTCCCATTCATTCTTACTGAGGTTGAAACCATTACTCTCGCATCTTCTTGGCGTTTTGCTCTAGAGGGGAAATTTCTTAATGGCACCCAAAATTGGAGATTATTCGGAAAGAGTTTGATGCTATGAAACCATTGGACAGTTGAAACATTGGCCTACTTGACGGTCGATGTATACTTATTCAGCTATCTCATGATGCCGATCATACTCGCATTTTCTCTCGAAAAGTTATCAAGATCGACAATCATTTTATGAAAATTCGGAAGTGAACTGTCGAATTTGATCCAAAAGCATAGTCCCCTATCATTCCTGTTTGGATAAACTTTCTGGGGTTAAAATTACATTCGTTCAACATGAAAATTCTCTATTCTTTAGCAACTGCTTATGGTAAGCCTCTCAAGGTGTGGTAAGCCTCTCAAGGTAGCCTCTCAAGGTGAATAGTCCTATATTTGCCTTCACCAGACCCTATGTGACTTATGTGTTATTTGAGAGAGATATCACTGAACCAGCTCCGAATGAGATATCGATTGACACTATTCACAACGGGCATTGACAAAAGGTTGAAATAGAATCACACCCTTCTTATTGCTCTTGTTGTAGTATGTTTGACCACATTTCTACTATTTACTATCGTTTGCATCCTCATTTAAGGCCGAGTATTGCTAAAGATCAACTACCTACCATTATTGCTGAGAAGGTGCAATCTGATCCTCTTTCCAACATCGCAGTTCCAGATGAAGAACACCATATTACAGGTACAAATCCAAATGTGCTGATACCACTTACTGTTATTGAAGAAGACTCACTTACATATCAAGACACACGAGAGTGCTCCTTCAATCCAATAAAAGATCAGCTGGTACAACAAGTAGTTGCTTCTAATGTTCAACAACCCACACATATCCTGCACACTTCAGACCATTCCACTGATCAGGTGAGTCAATCTTCGGATGAGAAATGATAGGTCTTCACGAGGAGGAAGAAGAACAGAGGACAACTCGAGCTAGGGAATCCATTAGATGATACATTAGCTACTACTGACAATGACACTCATCTGACCAATTTATTAGCTGGCTTCTTCCCTAGAACTAGAGGCAGAGGCAGAGGCAAGACAAAATTGGGTCCAGCTACCTGATACTCATATTTTGGCACTTTTTGGTTTTTTATTTAGATCTCTCATGTATTTTATTGTATTTTCTCTTTTTTGAAACAATTTGATATGATAGTTTTTGTGTGGGCTGTGTGTCATGTTAGGGACCTCCCACAAAATCTATGTGTGTATTATTCCAAGTGTAAAATTCTTATTAAAAATTTTAATGAAAGTTCTCAACCTTATAATTGACTGAGCCCTAAGCCCTGAACGTGAGTCCCTCCCTTCTATACGTGCGATACTCGACTCGACCTCCATTACATGACAACAACACACAAAGCCTCTCCTTCCTCATGCAACATCTTCTCTCTCCTTCCTCACACTTCTTTTTTACAGTTTCTTCCTCTGTGCTGGCCCTCTCCTTCGCAAGTTTTGACGTTGTAGCTGCTTCTCTTCTCCTTCGCGTGCAAGCCTCATCTCCTCTACATGCATGAAAGCTCCTCTCTCTTGTTTTTCTTCACCACAGACATGCCACTCAACTCAATAGGTAAGTCGTTCAATAAATTAGAAAGTGAAATTTCTCCTCCTTTGCTTTCTGACACTTCTTGCTTCCTCTCTTCCCATTTCGATTTCTTTTCTCTTCGCTCCCTCTTCTTTCTTACGCAGCACTTCGTTTCCTCTCTTTGACTCTTTGATTTCTCTCCCCTGGGTAATAAAAACGGGACGTTACATTACAGTACCCTGAGTCGTACCTCTGTTAGCTCCATCCGATTTGTTCTTGGACCTCTTCCCATTGGATCCCCTGATTGATCCACATGTTCTTCTTCAGCATTCTTTCTCTTGTGTGTCTCCTTATGCTTCTGAGTAATCTGATAGTCGATCTCCACTCTTCTAGCTCGTTTCACTAGTAGCGAGTATTCACGGATTTCTAAAGGCACTTGACTGTCTGGTTGAATCTTTTAATCTCGAAATGAATCTATAACACTTTTCTTTTGCAATAGCGATCAACTGCTGCGCACACCTCCACAGTGCAGTGAATTCTGCTTCGTACTGCATGATTGTCTTCTCTTCGTGCACTAACTTGGTAAACTTGACCTGCATCTATCTTCGAGCGGATATGGGTACAAACTACTTTCTAAAAAGCTCAACAAACTCTTCCCAACTTATCGTCATGTTGGGTATGTTCTCTACCTATCCTGACGCTGCCCATGCCTCCACCTTTCAGTTTTTTCATTCATCACAGAATTAGCTAACGGTACTCTTCTTTCATTTGAATAAGTCATACTATTTAGTATCTTTTCTATCCTTATTAGTCAATTTTCTGCTTAAATCAGGTCTTTTGTTCTTTTGAACAAAGGTGGACGCAGATCTTGAAATATCTTCAAATACTTATCCACAACAACTGTAACATTTCCGAGAGATTGCGATTTGGACTCGTGAATCAGCTGAATCATCGCCGTGCTTATCTAGGTCAGGACATTCATTTTCACATTTATAGTAAATTGTACTTTATCATTTGCTATCCAACTCTCTTCTATAATTTTGGGTGTATCAATATATCCGAATGAATATAATTATGAATTTGAGTTAACTTTAATTTTTTATTTTTTTATTATTAAAATTTTTTATAATCTCCTTATTGTTCGTTTCATCAAGATTTCATTAATTAATACTAAACTTTGACTTTGTTACCACTTTTGTCACGATTGGACCCGGGGTTTAGAATTAATTAAGGCGGGTACATATGGTCGGACAGTATGAATTAAGATTTCTCTATTTTTTTATATAACTAGCTATTAATAAATGAAAGACCGCAAATCAAATTAATATAAAATTATATATTTAAATTTACCTCGGTATTTGTTGTCCGCATCTTTTGTAAATTTTTCTTCTTCCTTTGCTCATTTTTTAATCACTTAATTGAACCTAAAATGTTAATTTAAAACAATTGTAAGCTTAAACAAAACTAGCCAATACTCATACTCATAAACTACTATATGATAAGAGAAAAGATAAGCAATATATATACCAATTAAACTTTTAATAAATCAATATAAACATTTGTTCCTATTCAACTAATTTTACTATATTAATAGCATATCTATATCATTCTATATTTATATAATTATCAAAGGAGCATCGTATAAAAATTATGCTACTTAAGTACTTCAATATCAATATCCTTTTTTATTTATATGGACGGACACCTTAGAGTTCTCCTGCTAGTACCATAAAGGGGTAATTCTTTCATAGTCAGTCATGCAAAAACATACAATCAATATAAACATATCATTCATGTGTTCATCACATTCAATTCAATATATCATATATAAAATATACCAATGCATGCTATTAAGTAGCTACAAACATTCATAATAATGTGACCAATGAAGGAAAGAACATATAAATCAAATAAAACTTGTACAAGTATCATTATCTACTAATGCAAAATATTGGAGAAGAACTAAAATATTATCATAAATTAAAATGCGAGTACTCGCCTCGATGATGATTAATTTGTTATTTAATATTTCTTGACGTCGTCTCTTCTAAAACTAAAAGTCTAAAATAAATATGGTATTCATATTAATACTTAATTTATTTATTATGTTATTACAAATTTAATAAATTTTTTATTTTATTTTATGTAATCCTGCATATTTTTTTAGTCTATTATATATGTATATATACAGAATCCTACTTTTCACACACACATACACACACAGATATATATATATATATATAGATATTTTGTTATTATTAAATCACTTAATAAAAAAATCCCTTATCTCTTTCTGTTGACGTCGCACGTGGAAACCCTTTCTCTTCTTCGATGGCCGGCTTGAGCACTTGTTCCAATCGCGCTCCTCTCTTTTTCTTTGATGGCCGGCTAGGAAGTTTATGTGAAGTCCAAAACAGTGATGAAAAGCATAGAAATTGCTTGCACCGTATCCTTTAAATTTGGAATCAACCTTGAACAAAACCAGCCCAAGCTTATGCCAAATCATTTGTGTCAACTTAATGTTTGGAAATAAAAAACTGATCTTTCTTATGGCCATCATCATGTATTCATGTTCCTTGTCAAACATACAAAATAACTCAAAATAAAATTACTAATGAAAATAAATAAATTATGCAGGGATCATTGCTTGATGCAATGCTTCCGATGCAAATGAACATGTGAATTTCTCACAGTAGTGAGGCTTATGGCATTTCGGTTCTATGCTTGATCATTCCAATGCATTGTTGAAGTTGTTGAGTCTTGCATATCATCTTTAATTGTGTTAAGTTATTAACTTTGCAGCTTATTGTATGACAGTGGTATCGGCATTTGGCATTGAAAAGTCTTTGTCAAAATGAAGGCATATGCTCTATACGGATATGGAGATGGAGAGGTTTTCTGATTCAGGTTGTTAATGCATCGCTTTGTGAAGCTTGATAACTTAATAGAAGAATACAACTTTTTTATAAATTAGTCTTATATAATGCAATTAAAAGTGATAAATATCTTATTCATATTTTTTTATAATCCTCTTCATGTATACTTTGATTGAATCATATTGATGATTATTATTTGTCAAGGAAAGAAGTTTTTTTGAAGTTTTTTTAAGTTAAATACACCAATCATTGTTAGTTATTTGATTGTGCATCAAAATATTCTTTGATTTAAAGCTATGTTCTGCTGGTAGACATGAAATATTATGAGAACTATTTGAGCGAGAGGGAGGGAGAAACCTATAAAAAATTTAAACATTGCAGAGCCAGAATAATCTTGTATGGAATTTTCTGAACTTGACATAAACTTTTTCCATTGCCACTTATTTGCATTTCTTGGTCCACCTTTGACAGTATGCTTTTCAAACATGTATTGTTATAATATTTTCAACTTGAATAATGCTGAGAAGTGCTATAATATTGTCGCTCTTTACTTCACTTTTGCTGTTAATTACATGTTACTCTTCTGAAGTTAATAATCTAGTTCAACATAGCTCAGCGTCTCTGTAGTAGAAATCTTAATTATAATGCTTTTTAATTGCAGTAGTTATATGTTGGCTATACTTGTCCCGGCCTAGCTTGAGAATTTAGAATTATCAAGGTGTGAATAGATTGTTGGACATAAATTTAATAATTATGGGTCGGCTACATGAAGCTTTTTCTCCATTGTGACTTATTGAGTGTCATTTTTTCATTTAATTCTAATAGATTAAGATCATTTTTTATACAATATGCTTAGGTATTTTCAGGTCTACTTCTGACTTTTTTAACATAAGCTGAATCTAAAACATCTACTCTCTTAACTAAATATATAACATTTTCTAATCTTATTGATATCAAAACTCATTATCAATGCTTTTCCTATATTAATAAATTTTGATACATTGAAAAAACTATTAAAGCAACTAAAAGCAAAGAATTTAAACTAAATTAAAAGTTGAGTAATTCTAACCACTCTTTTTTGGTTGCATTAGTGCAAACAATTTCTCTTCTTTCACTCATTTTAATCTCGAAATTTTTTCTTGAAAATGATAGTTTAAATTTTGTGAGTTATCAACACTCAATGGGCAATCATATTTCCAAAATTAAATTAAAATTGAAATAAGAATAAAATATGCATGTTTATTATATTCAATAAATTAATACAAAATCTTTATACTTTAAAAATGTAAATGTAGAATGTATCAAGATATTCCGCTATATAATATGAATAATGACATATTCTTTGTACATTATTGCATATTACATTCGTCACAGGAGCACCATTTATAATGTAACATTTAAAATACTTCAATATCAATTTTTTTTTTCATTTTATGCGCACAGTAACCATAACATTCCTAGTAGTTAGTGTTATATGCAGGTGAATTCCATTTGTCAACATTATGGATGTAAACGAGCCGAACACGAGCGAGCCCAGACTTAGCTCCTCTTTGGCTCGTTAAAAAATATCACTGTTCGTGTACGAATCGTTTATATTTTGAATACAAAAAATGTGTTTGTGTTCGACTCACTTGCTTAGCGAGCCAAACACGAGTTGTTCGCAAACAAAGAGTCGTTTTAACAACATTAATCACACAGTTGTAGAATATTAAGGGTGAGGCAAGATTTAAATGCTACTTTTTATATTAAAATATCATTTAAATATAATTTACTATATTTATATTCTATTTTTTTAATTAATATTTTTAATTGATTATAAATCTATTAGCCTTGTGGTCAATTTAATTTTTTAAAAGTACTACCATTAATATATATATATATATATATAATTGATGAGTAGTATTGAGTCAAACACGAACGAACAAATCTTTGTTCATGTTTGGCTTGTTTATATATCGATCACAAAAAAGTTTTTGTGTTTGACTCGCTAGCTTAGCGAACGAATCAAACACGAGCTGTTTGCGAACAATGTCATTTTGACAGCCCTAGTCAACATGCACACACACACACATATATATACATTGTATGGCTAGTCAACTAGGGCTGTCAAAATGACATTGTTCGCAAACAGCTATATATTAAAAGAAATTAGTATTTGGCAAAGGCCTAAGTATCGATTTTCCATGCGCTAGGCCTCATGATGAGAGACCGCGCCATGTGCCTAAATATTCGAGAACACAACGTCACTGGGGATCGAACTCGTGTCCTTAGAGGACTTACAGTGAACTCCGCCAACCAACAAGTCACGGCTTGCGGCGCACACACACACACACACACATATATATATTAAAAAAAATGGTCGACGGCTGTGATCTCCAATCATATACATACAACCACGATGTCAGCTGCGGTCGAGAGCTTTGCTAGGGTTTTCAATGGAGATTTCCGTCGCATTTGATTCTACCGCTCGAAGGAGAGGGCCTCACAACTCGTTTTGTCGACTCTTGCTCTGGTCTGTGTCTGCGTCGACATTGTTGATCGCAGATTCTGGCTCGCATCTGCTTTGGCTTGTTTCGACGCTGCGCCTTTCCCTGCTTCTACGCCAGACAATTTCATTTCTGCTATTTCGACGCTTCGTCTGTTTGCGTCTACGTTCGTGTTTCTCTCCGGCCCGCAACAACTTCTTTTCTTCTGCTTGTCAGGAACCCGTTGCAGGTGAATGTCACCACATCTTCTTGCTCTGATGGCACTTCCTTCTTCTTTGGCTAAACCGACAAAGTCCTCCTTTGCCCACGTGATGGGTAACCCTTAGGTGGAGTCCGTGGTGGTCTTCCCCTCAAGTTATAAGGATTATCGCGATGATACAGATGATTGTCATTTTGTTAAGAAGGGAAGTAGGAAATGTGAAAATGCAACGATCTTTTTCTCTGACTCAGAAATTTCTACCATAACGGAAAAATTCAAGTTTTCTCTTATTGAAAAATTTCAGTGGGGACACTCACCTATGGATGCTATCAGAAAGAGTGTAGGCAAGTGGAAAGTGGAACTCGTGGATGAGAGACATGTGTTGATTCAACTAATAGTGGTTGAAGACTACACCCGAATTTTCTTCAAGAAATATCTTAATATCGCAGACAAATCAAGGAAATTACTCAAGTGATCTCCTGATTTTGATTCAAATCATGAAACTTTAACTGTACCAGTATGATTTAGTCTACCTGGTATCAAGTTGCATTTTTTTCACCATGTGGTTTTCTACTCTATTGAAACCATCTTTGATGACCCTTTGAAGCTAGATCTTCCTACTTTCAATCTAAGCAGATCTTCTGTGGCCAGAATACTTGTGAAAATGGATATTACTTTACCTAATGTTACTGAAGTCTGGCTGGACACAACCCATAATGAATATTGCAACAAATCATCATGGAACACAGACCTCCCGATTGTACTCACTATAAGATGTTTGGGCATATCCTTAATAAATGTCACAAACTTCATCCTAATTTGAAATCTAAGGTTCAAGTGAATAAGAATGGGTCAACCCCACATGCTCTGGACATTTTAGTCCCACCTGGGAAGGATACTACCAGACAGGAGGCGTCTTTTGCTCCTATGGACCCCCCCTAATGACACTGCTGTTACTGTTACTGCGAGTGATGTGATGCTGACACCTTCAAACTCCATAGAAAACCATACAGATGGAATATTACCTACAAAGTACAATATTCAGATTGATAACCAAGAGAACCTTGTAGCTCTCATTCTTCAGGAAGTATCCGGTGTAGAGGCAACTCATACTTCACATATACTAGAACCTATTGTGGGTACTACGATTGGTAATCCTTCTGCTTCAATCCTGTAATCCTTCTGCTTCAGCTCTACCACCACATCAGACTGATTATTCAAATGAGGAATGATAGATTTACACTTCCAGAAGGAAAAAGAAGAATAAAGATCTACTTGAACTCAGGAGTCTTATGGATGATACTTTGGTTACTTCGGGTAATCGTACGCACTTTACCAATCTGTTAGTTGGATCCATTCCCAGTACTAGAGCCAGAGGCAGGACTAGATTGGTATGAATCTCACTTTTTCAGCGCCCAGGTGTATTTGGGTTTTTTTAATTTTTATATGTAACCCTTTTTAACTTTTTTGTGTATGTTATACCGTGTGGGTTGGGTGCCTTTTTTAGGCCCACCCATACAACCTATCCATATTTTTTCTCTTTAATATATTAGCCCTTGGGCTTTTTTCAATATATATATATATAT